GGAAAGGAAGGGGAAGGCTTTATGTGCTGTTAATGGATGGGATGACTCGAGCGAGGGCGGACGACCAGCTTAGGCGCCAGCCCAGCCATCCCATCCCATCCACTACGACACTACCGTCGAGTCGGCCGCCCAGCCATCGGGCGAGCGAGCGAGCAAGAGCAAGCGGCGCGGACCAGGCACCAGGCAGGCAGCAGAGCAGAGCAGAAGCGCCAGCGGAGTGTTGAGTCAAGCAAAGCATCAAGTGATCTCGTCTTCGTCTTCGTCTCCGTCCGCCGCGTCTCGGGCTGATGGAGAAGGGCGCAGGCAGCAGCAGGAAGAAGCATGAGTTAAGGGAGCCCAAGGGGACTGTCGACACTGTCTTACCTGACACAGACCTCAGCCGGCGAGGGTTGGCGAGGTCATCGAACCAACTCTTGCGAGCAGAGGATGGCGATGGCGATGAAGAGTGGAGAGAGAGGACAGCGAGAGAGGAGAGTGTTGACCTTGATGTCGATGTTGATGTCGATGTTGATGTTGTTGTTGATGTTGTTGTTGATGAAGTTGACGTTGATGAAGTGAAGTCGAGGAGGTGAGGTCGATGAGGCCAAAAGCGGAAAAGCGGGCTGAAGTGGCAGAAAAGCAGCTTCTTGCTCTCGATCTCTCTCTCTCTCGCGTACGCTGTGTTATTTTAGTTATTTTAGTTATTATTACTTTGCTGCCAAAGCCTGCTTCAAGCCACTGCTGACTGCTGACTGGCCTTCCTGAATCTTCCTTGCCGGAGCGACTTTGCTTTTGCGGGGAAAGTCGGTGGGCAGCGATGTCACCGCAAAGTGGCCACCAGGCAGGGAGGCTTCTTGGTCGAGAGGCTGGGTTGTTCGAGTTGGTAAGTTGCACAGTCTCGACTACTGAGGATAAATATAAGCTAAGGGATCCCAGGCATAGGCAGCTCGTCGAGATGAATAGATAGTGAACTAGCTGGTTTACTACGTCTCTGTTCCTAGGACGGGTAGCTGTGCCGTGGGAGAAAAGAGAGGGACTCCAAGGGTACCTAAACTCGCTCGGGGCGAAACTGCACGCATCATTCCACCTGCAAGACATCCACCTATGGAGTAAACATATAGCTACCTGCTTATTTTAGTCTGGTGCTGATGATACGTAGCCGGTCCCCTAATCCCCGATTATAGACTGATGGGTAAACCTCTATCAACCCCAGTCAAGTGATTTCAATACGTTAAATACTAATAACTTATAAATATCGTAGTTTTACATGGACTTTTCGCTCCTCAGTCGATTCGGTCTCCAGATATTTGGCCGACTATCCGTAGGTAGCTGTATAACTACCGGAACTGGATAGAGATAACAAAGCATGCTACGGAGTATGCATTCGATATGAAAGATATGCTCACAGCATCATGTTAGTTAGCCACGAGTGGGTCAACTAGAAAACCAGGCTTATCTACAGTAAGTAGCTCTCTTCTAATCCCAGAGTGAGGCTAACATTTGTGGTAAAACCGGCCCTGCTAGTTCTGCTTGGAGTTATGCCACAGGATAAGAGTTATGCAACCCAGCGTGCTACGTCGGTCGTCCGGCTAGAATCAGAGACGTTGGTCAGCATCACTCGACGAGGCACAGAGAGACGCGAGTGAAAACTCTGGCGATCATCCACCAGGACATAGTTCTGTAACGGTGTCGCCGTTGTGGTCCGTCAAGAGTCAAGAGTTTGCCCCCTCATAGCCTCGCTGCATGGCGTTTGCCAACCAACAAAGAAACCGTGTTATTTTCCCCCTTCCCTTTGCGACCAAGTGCCTGAAAATAGAACTTGTCCTCCCAATAATAATAACCAAATGACGATTACTTGTTTGCTGTGAAAATTTATCATGCTTCATACTTGGCGAACGCTGAAGAAAGACGAGAAAAATGGCGGGTCGACCGAGCGCGACTTCTCCGCCCACCAAGTTCCCCCGCAAAAGCGAAGTCACTCTGGGTCACGCCAGCACTTCCCACCTAGTTAGGTTAACATCCTTACCTAATCATCTTACCTAAGCAGTTTGCACCCACTGAGAAAGTCGCCTCCGAAAGCTTCCGTCCCTTGTCGGCCGGGGCCGGAGCCGGGGGCGGGCGAGGCTTATCAGTCACGTGGACAGTTATATTATGTAAGCAATGCTAGGCCGAAAGAGGCATGACAGCCGTAGGCTCCACTTCGCGGCGAGATAGCCAATAGAAAGACAGAGCCTCATCAGATTCCACGTCGGGTTAGATCGGCTGCGGAGATCGATCTAAGTAAGTAAGTATTAGGTAAGCAAGAACAAGGCCCTAGCTCTATGTAATGGTAAGTGCATGGTAGAGCTGGATGGGTAGCAGTAACTACTTTAGACCCTCCCAGAGGAGCGACAGCTGTCTAATTGTTAGTTAATTCACTATTGACTGACAGCCTAGTCGATGGAAGGAATATATCAATTACATGCGGGGGGTAAATGAACACCCTCCAACCAAGAGGCTGATAGTGGGCAATCAACCAACTAGAAGCTTAACCAGACGTCAAACATGAAGTCTGTCTTATTTGGCTCTCGACGACAAGCAAGAGGAAGCAGAGGATGGTCAGCTTGATTTCCATCTCAAGGCCAATAGTTACCACCACGCCCACGCCGAACTATATTCGTTCAGAAAATATTTACTCATATCTAGCTATACCGGACGGGTGCAAATTGACCAAACAATCCAACAATATCCAGGGCAAGGTATCGATATTCTAAGGAAAGAACGAGTAAATACTAGATTAAATGTCCACCAGCAGCTATTATAATATAATGTTCACGTCTCTTCAAAGGATAGAGGTCTATGCCTTTTGCTTCCCCTTGCAGGTCGTCTTGTGGTTCGCCCAGTCATGACGTTGATGTTCAGTTCCACAATACGCTACCTTCTTACAACCCAGGCATAGCTTTCCAGGGGCAGAGCATACGACGCATTTCTTCTCCGGACCCGTCTGGGGCTCTGGTTTAGGCTGGGGCTTTGGGTCGGATTCGGACGAACTTGGTCCTGTTGTGTCTTGTCGCTGCTGTTGGCTTGCGGCTTGATCAGAAGCTTCACCTTCGTCGCTTACATCTTTATTCTCTGGTTTCTCCTTAGTAGTGGTAGCAGTGTCCGTAAATTTCGCCGGCTCGCCATTGATGTATAGCAGTGGCTCGCTAGGAGGACTAAACTCTTCGTCCGACGTTTCCTTTTGTTGTTCCTGAGAGCCTGCCTCTTCCTCTAGTGTGTCAACGTCAACGTCAGGCTTGCCTGCAACAGATGACTTCCCATTTGTTGGGGTTTGTGCCCGTGGTTCTTGAAGGGCCCCCGGTCCATGATCCTTGTCCTCACCGAAATCATTCTCCTTCGTCCAGCGAAGGGGGCTTTGCTCAACGTGTGCAGTCCAATCTCGTTTCTCCCCTTCAGACATCGTGTACGTGAACCATTCGGGAAACCAATCTCTTCGACGTCGCTCCTGGCGCCAAAGCAGGCCAAGCTCAATTTCACATTGCAAAGAAGCCATTTGGCGAAGCCACAACAGGCGCGACTAGAAAAAGTACAGGTGTTAGTCGCATAATCAAGGTATTGTAAGGTATTGCTAGTAGTACGTGCTTAATATGCAGTTAGACTTACTTGTTCATCTGCACTCTTA